GGCATGAATGTGGTAAACAGATGTACATGAGGCAAAGCACACATACATGTAAAATAATAAATATAAATCCAGGAAACACTCTGAGAGAGCCGGCAGAAGGAAACCAAAATAGAGTTGTTAGCAAAGAAAACAGAATGAAGTTCAAAAGTCAAGATGGATGTCGAATTCTTTAAATTGTGGTGTTTAAACTATATAGTTGTCAAAAACAAAAACAAAAAACAAAAAACAAAACAACACCCCACTTTGTTGTCTTCCAGAAACCTAGAAGAAAATCTTCTCAGCCTTCCCAATGCTGTGACCCTTAAATAACAGTTCCTCACGGTGTGCTGACCCCAACCATAAAATTATTTTGTTGCTACTTCATAACTGTAATTTTGCTACTGTTATGAACCAGAATGTAAAATCTCAGTTTTCCGATGGTCTTGGGTGACCCCTGTGCAGGGGTTATCCAACCCCCCAGGTTGAGAACCACTGTCCTAGAGGGAAGAGAAGAAGTTTAGTCAAACAGACAAAGCTGACTGAAGATGCCCTCTTTCAGGTCTCAAGCCAGCTGTGGTGTAGTTTCCAGGGCTGACACCACTCAGAAGTGGAGGCAGGAAGATGAACTGTGCTCTGGAACTTCAAAACTAGCCTGGGCAGCCAGGCAAGACCTTGTCTCAGGTGTCTACAAAGAAAAGGAACTGAGCACCTCAATAACCAAAGAGTGGACTTCCAGATGAGGCATTTTATACAAGAATCCTCCCACACCAGGCATCAGTACAAGCAAGGTCCAACCCAGGAATGGCTCCAACCAGACATTAATTGGTTGTCAGAGGGGAAACCATGTGACCAAAATAAGAGAGCTATTTAGAGTCCTCTAAAAGTCTCAGAGTCTTGCCCTGTATCCTTTGTGGTGTCTTTACAAAGATCAAACAAGACACATGTCAAAGACTGAGAAACAATGTCTCACCATAGCCCAGGTTGGCCTGCAGCTCATGTCTCACACCACAGCCCAGGCTGGCCTGAAGCTCATGTCTCACACCACAGTCCAGGCTGGCCTGAAGCTCACTATGTAGCCCAGACTTGTCATGAAGGGGTGGTGGCAAACTTCCTGCCTTACTCTCCCCGTGCTGGGAGTGAGTCACCTGCCTGGCACAGAACAAATAGACCTAGGTGTAAGTTCTGGGTGTAGTCATAAAACCTGTGACCCCGAGCAAATCACTGCACCTTTCTGTGCCCGATTTAATTAACCTGCAGCTACGGGGTTGTTGTAAGAATTAAATGAAACTACACAACTTTAAATTCTGTTTAGAACAAGATGATAGATGGCTTTACAAATAAAGTAGCCTTGACTAAGCTCGAGGAGAACTTGGGCTGGGGCTGAGTCTCAGTTGGGAGAGTGCTTGATCATGTGTTTATTTCCAGTGTCAGGAAGGCAGAGGCAGGTGGATGTCTGTGAGGTTAAGGATAGCCTGAGATCCATAGTGAAATCATGTCTTTTAAAAAAAAGAAGTTCGAGGTCATCCTTGACTACATAACAAGTTTGAGGCCAGTCTGGGACACATTCAACCTTGTCTAAAAAAAAAAAAAAGTTTCTTGGAATTCTTAACATATCATAGAATTGTTTAGGTGTTCTTATTTACCTATGACTTGGAGTCATTTATACATCTGGGCAGTCTCAAATCCTATAGTCTCATTTAACAATTTTTCCCCTTTTAAACTAACATTCCTTAGGGAAAAAACAAGAAAGAAGGGAGTGGATGAGGGAAAAGACAACTTTACAGAGTGGAGGGTCCCGACAAGAGATTAAGAAAACACGCTGTTTTGCATTCTTAGCTGAGCCCCATACAACCCTAAATGTCTGTAAAGCCAGAAGTGAAAGAAATGAAGTCATGGCTTCCCCTCTTCCATCCGGACTTTCCAGCTGCCAGCACTGGCTATCAGGTCATCTAGAGCAAAACAAAGGACAACACCACTGGCTTCCTACTGGCACTGGGAAGAAGAGGGTGGGGAAGGGGCAGGTAACCGATGACCTCACTTGCAAAACTCCTGAGCCCAGCCTTGCCTTTCTGCTCCTCCTGGGCACATCTGTCCTTGTCCTTGTACCCACGGGCGTTTGTACTGTTTGTAGGGCAAGAGTTTATAAGACTTTTTCTTTTTCCCATCCAAGAACTGAGAAGGGTCTGTGTGTGTGTGTGTGTGTGTGTGTGTGTGTGTGTGTGTGTGTGTGTAGGGACAGATTGTTATCAGAATACCAGGTGAAAGGTTATAAACAGCCTGTCCAGGAGGCAGCCAATTCAGAACATGCCTTGGCTATAGGCCCAGGAAGCAGCTGCCACTGCCAAATTTAAACAGATTTTTGGCCTAATGCAGAACAAACAAGTGGTCTGCACTGAGTGTCTCAGGAACAAGAAGAAATGGCAGTCGCACAGGCGACAAGACACAGAACTATCCACAGGATTGTTTTTGCTTTTGGTTTTTGTTTTGTTCACTTGTTTTTTTCAAGACAGGTTTCTCTGTGTAACAGTCCTGGCTGTCTTGGAACTCCACTTTGTAGACCAGGCTGGCTTCAAACCCAGAAATCCGCCTGCCTCTGCCTCCCAAGTGCTGTGATTAAGGGCATGTGCCACCACTTCCCTGCATACAGGATTGTTTTAAATAAAAAAAAAAAAAAAAAAATTAATACTCCACAGACAACCTTACATACTAACATTACCTTTCTCTAAGATGTCCCAAGCCAACACCCTGAGACCTGTTAACAGGCACCTCTCCTCTCTTCCGATCTCCTCCAATCTTAAACAACAACAATTGTTTACATCTCATTTATTTTGTGTTCTCTGGGAGTGAATAATAGGGTGGGGGAGGTCAGGATTGGTTCTCTCCTACTTCCAGGGTTCTGAGGACTGAACTCAGGTTGTCAGGCCTGGTACAGTGTCCCTGGTTCTCCTCAGTCTTAAGTAGCTGGGGCTGAAGAGATGGCTTGGTGGTTAGTAGTATCAGAGGACCAAGGTTCGATTCCCAGCAACAAAATAGCAGTAACAACTCTGTAACTCCAATTTCCAGGGCATCTGATACCCTCTTCTGGACTCTGCCTACAGCAGACACTCATGTGGCAAAGCTCCCATACACGTCAAAATTTTTAAATCCCATATTGCTACATTCCACACTATTTAACAATATTGATATATACACTTTTGGTAAACATTTTGATGTTTTATACCATCAAGCTATTTTTTTTTCCAAGATGTCTGCTACAGTTTGAAACTAAAATTATTGAGAGTCCTACCTCCTTTGTTCTTAATTAATACTGTTAACTCAAGCCTAGTTACCTGTCTAGAACAAACACACACCCCCTCAGGATCAACATGTTCCTAGGCTTTGGTGTTGTATATGTTTTTCAACCGTGTGATGTCCAACTCGGAGCTTGCTTAACATTGAGGCTGAGTTGTAACTTGTTGGCCTTAGGATGTCAACCCAGTTAAGGCATGTGAGCAAAGGGAAGGTGTTGTTTATTAAGAGCAGTAAACAGGCTGCTAATTGTACAGAAGGCAGAATTTTATATATGCAAAGGCTTTTTACTTCTCCATCTTAAATTCATGACAATTTCAAGCACAAGGAACAAGGAGACAATCTCCTAGTAACTCTGCCCAAATATGGAAGGAGTCTAGGGCTCAATGACAAGACAGGGTGGACGTGGGGAGGGGGGTCGCAGGGTGGACGTGGGGAGGGGGGTGATCCCTCGCGGGGTGGACATGGGGGGTGCGATCCCTCTTCTACACACAAGGTTTTCTTAGCACATTCAAGAGCAAGAGTTATTTCCTGAGTCAGCACCTAGCGACATCTCTGTCTGCTTGGTCTAGCAGATAGCCAAGCAAAGCCAATAGAACCTGAGCAACAGGCTTAGGAATATGCATTTCATTTAGTGACTCTGGAGAGAGGATGAATACAAAAAAAAATAAAGTGACAGGAACTCTGGAACAAAGTCAGGAGTGATGGATGGATCTGTTTCTTTCTTTTTCTTTTTCTTTTTTTTTTTTTTTTTGTACCCACCCTTTGTTTCCTGGAGAAACAGGGACGGAGGTAGACATCAGTGTAAAGTACACACCTCATCAAAGCTGCAATGAGGTAAATGAGGGAACATATACAAGGTGTTCCCCAATTTCACAGGTAGACTGAAGAGATGAGAGGAAAAGTAACAGGATGTGGACACTCCCATACTGCTTCCATTCCAGAAAACAGAAGAGAGTGGACATGGATGCCCATAGGGGCAGGAAAGGAAGGGGACACCCCAGAACAATGTACCGGCTTTCCAATGAGGACTGGAAGGGGACCTAATATCTGACACACGCGTTTTGTTCTTCAGTAGACATGCAACAGGAAGACACGGGGTGGCTTTCTCACTAACACTTCTGCACCCTCACCCTCCACCCAGTGCTGAAGAATCCTTGGGGCAATGGGGTTGTTTTTCACAGACTTGTGAACTTGGAAGCCAGGAATAAACAGTCGCCTCGAAATGAACTGTGCTGCCTAAGACGAGGCATGAAATCCTGTCCTAAGCACATTTTCCCTTCTCCTAAAAAGAGGAAAGAAAAAAAAAAAAAAAAAAAAAACCAACACACCCAAACAACCCTGCTCCCAGGCCCTGGATGGGGTTCAGGGTCGCGGGGTCAGTGCCATCCAACTCCCAAGGGGGGGGGGAGAGACGTCCGCGGCCCCAGCCCCGCCCCTCCTCCCGGCAAGGCTGCGCACCCGAATAACAACCGTTTTCCCCGCTAGAGCACACCGTGTCCACGCGCCCCTGCGGCCTCGCTGATTGGTTGGAGGCCTGGTAAACAAGGACCAAGTAGCCAATGGGAGAACTGTGCACGAGGGCTGCACGAGCCTCTGAGCCAGCGCTCGCGTGGTGCTTCTAGCCAGGCAGATATATAAAGGCGTTTCCGGCTCCCAATTGACATCTCTGCTCTTGTGATCTCCTGGTTTTCCTGAGTTCCTCCAGCCGCTGTTGCAAGGACAGCAGCCGTTGCTTTCCTCTTGAAAGCCTTTGGCACAGCCTCTCCGGCACCGTTTCGAGAAGCTGTTAGGGTTTGTCGAAGGGCTTCTTTAAATTTTAATTTGGGTTTTTCAAGCCCGGTCTGCTTTCCGGAGAGTGAACTCTTTATTTGCTGGGAAGGGCTCCTTAAGAGTTTTTCCTCTGCCGCTTCCGTTTATCTTGAACCCACTGAACCCAACCATGGTGATGTTCAAGAAGATCAAGTCTTTTGAAGTGGTCTTCAACGACCCGGAAAAGGTGTACGGCAGCGGGGAGAAGGTGGCCGGCCGGGTGATAGTGGAAGTGTGTGAAGTTACTCGAATCAAAGCCGTCAGGATCCTGGCTTGCGGAGTGGCCAAGGTCCTGTGGATGCAAGGGTCTCAGCAATGCAAACAGACCTTGGACTACCTACGTTATGAAGACACGCTTCTCCTAGAAGACCAGCCAACAGGTACAGACTTTTACCTCCAGCTGTTCTTCGCAGGGCAGATGGTGACGGAGGAGGGGGCCACTGGAGGGAGCTTTAAACGGAGGCACAGGAGCCTCTACCAAGTGTTTTGAGTTGTTTATTTAGTAGTCTGAATTGTGTTGGTCCTGATATTTTAAAGTTTTAATTTGCAAGTATTTCATTGCACCCCTCCTCCCCCCCCCCAAGGCCAGGGTGATTTGCACAGTTTCTGAGGTGCTGTTTGCAGAAGGTGTTTTGTTTGCCTTAGCTGCTTAAAGATTAATGTATTCACACAGTTCCTGGGGCAACTGTGCTGGATGGGCCTTTTAGTAATTGTGGGCTTTGCAACTCTCTGTTCAAGAATGTGCACTGGAATCTTTTATTCCACCGTGGAAGAGATGAAAATGGAAGTAAAATAACCTTGTCTGCTGCCCAGTTTTCACAGATGCCTTTGAAATGTAATAGGAAACCTAATGGACCCTTGCCTTTGTTTCTCTGCAGGTGAGAATGAGATGGTGATCATGAGACCTGGAAACAAATACGAGTACAAGTTTGGCTTTGAACTTCCTCAAGGGTAGGCATCCACCAAGTGCACCTTGGACTCTATTTCTAAAAGTCGTTCCCCCCCCCCCTTGACCTCTTACTGTTCTTAGAGAGCATTAATTATTTTTTTCATTGTTTTGACCCAGGCCTCTGGGAACATCCTTCAAAGGAAAATATGGTTGTGTCGACTACTGGGTGAAGGCTTTCCTTGATCGACCCAGCCAGCCAACTCAGGAGGCAAAGAAAAACTTTGAAGTGATGGATCTAGTGGACGTCAATACCCCTGATTTAATGGTGAGGTTTAGTTTATTAAGGTTCTGTTCTCCTTGGTCGGGGATAACAGATTACATGTTTGGGGCATGGAAATATCTCAAAATGTCGTGTCCTTCTACACAGGCACCAGTATCAGCTAAAAAGGAGAAGAAAGTTTCCTGCATGTTTATCCCTGATGGGCGCGTGTCCGTCTCTGCTCGAATTGACAGAAAAGGATTCTGCGAAGGTAATATCATGCTTAAAATACAGCCAGTTTAGCCAGAGCTGGTGCTTTGGAGGGGCCATGGAGTAGAGGGAAGGAAGTGCCCTGAAGTTAATGGGTATTCATCCCCTCTTCATCGTTACCCCAGGTGATGACATTTCCATCCATGCCGACTTTGAGAACACATGTTCCCGGATTGTGGTCCCCAAAGCAGCTATTGTAGCCCGACACACCTACCTTGCCAATGGCCAGACCAAAGTGTTAACTCAGAAGCTGTCCTCAGTCAGAGGGAATCACATCATCTCGGGGACCTGCGCATCATGGCGCGGCAAGAGCCTCAGGGTGCAGAAGATCAGACCATCCATCCTGGGCTGCAACATCCTGCGTGTGGAGTATTCCTTGCTGGTGAGTGTTGTAGGGGTGTAGTTCTAGAAGAGAAACAGTCCTTGTGTTAAAATGCAGTGCTTTCTCTGTACCACCCATCTTAACAAACTGCCACTTTCCTTTCTAGATCTATGTTAGTGTCCCTGGCTCCAAGAAAGTAATCCTTGACCTACCCCTGGTGATTGGCAGCAGGTCAGGTCTGAGCAGCAGGACATCCAGCATGGCCAGCCGAACAAGCTCTGAAATGAGCTGGATAGATCTAAATATCCCGGATACCCCAGAAGGTGGGTATCTTTGCTTTCTTTGGGCCAGATCGGGCTTGTGAAATTGTGATCTTGGCTGACTTCTCATCCTGTTTTCTCTTTGTAGCTCCTCCTTGCTATATGGACATCATTCCTGAAGACCACCGATTAGAGAGCCCCACCACTCCCCTGCTGGATGACATGGACGGTTCTCAGGACAGCCCCATCTTCATGTATGCCCCCGAGTTCCAGTTCATGCCCCCACCCACGTACACTGAGGTGAGATGTGCTATTCTTCATTGTTAACATTTTGTCTCAGGCCTCCTGAAGGAAGGAAGGGTTATTAAATGCATGGTTTTTCTATTGCTTACCTAAAACACTAAAATGTTCTCTTTCCTCTTCCTCCCCCAGGTGGATCCCTGCACGGTTAACAACAACAACGTGCAGTGAGCTCGTGGGAGAAGAGATGCATCTGTACTCACTCATTTCTTTCTCCTCTCTGCTTGGACGCCAGTGTTTCAGAGACTTAGTCTGGAAGTGGAGAACGGGCCCACCCCAGCCTCTGACCCACATCTGGGTGGTGATCAGCAGGCAGGTCCCCGGCTTCAAGTGGTGCAGATACAGCCAGTACCTAAGCTGTGGTTTAGGAGTGTTTGCTGGATGGATAGAAGAAAATACTCTAGAAAAATTCAGACCCGGTCCACTTTCTCAGATCTTGGAAATGAAGACATTGTCTGCAGTTTTTGAGTCAGTATAAATGACCTTCCGGCATAGGCATGGTCTTTCCAAGGTTGTTTTTTTTTTTTTTTTTCCTTTGAGGAGTTCTAGGTTAACAGCAGACCATGAACTTCTGTGGCATGGGGGACAGAATCACTTTCACATACTAGAAAAAGGAAAATCATGGCCAAAATGTTGGAAGAGATGTTGTTTTTATTATTTTTTAATCAGTGTTCCCTTTTTGTAACCTTACAAAGGAAAAGGAAAATCTTCCAATCTTCTGAGGCTGATGTGGTTTGGCTTGGGAGATAGTGGGCACCCTGTAACTTACAGGGCAGCTGCTTAAGTGAACTTTAACCTGGCCTTAGAGCACTTGTGGCTGTGCCCACTCACAGCCATAAAAGCCATTACAGCCAGTTGCACTTAATCAGATGGGAGAATCTGTTATTTCCGTGTGACTCCTTGGAAGTGATTCCAAGGTGATGATTTTTAGCACTTTAGTTCCTGTCAATTTTGTTTTAATCTCAATTGCAGATGTAAACTCTACTAGTATGTCTTAAAGGTTAAGCCCAATGACAGGGCAAAGGGGAATTTTTGTGGTTTTGGGGTTTTTGTTTTTGAGATAGGGGGTCTCTATCTTTTGTTAGCCTAGAACTCTACATAGAGCAGGCTGGCTTCAGAGATCCCGCCTCTCTGCCTCCTGAGTGCTGAGATTGAAAGTTCAGCTTGGTTATTACTTTTGAGACTTTGTCCCAGTTTGCAGAATTGTGTAATTCTGATTTGAATATGAAGGGTTGCCACCCTGTGTGTAAGCCTCTGCATCGAGATGCCCCAGGACTGATCAGGGCCCTCGGGTGGAATGGGAATGGCAGGTTTTCATGAAAGCCCCAAGCCTATTTTCAGCCCAGTGTTAGGAGAAAGGACTCTTGACTGCTTTCACCGTGACCACTGGCGCCTGATCAGTCATTCTCAGCCTAGCACTTTGTCCGTTGTCCTGTGTCAGCACTGAGTTCCCCCTTTTCTGAGAACTATGCAGCCAGAAAGCATGTGAGCTGATGGTGGTTTCATTTTTGTTGTTTTTGTATTTCATGTATCTTTTTGTATGACAAAAAACTATATTTTGTACTTATCCAAATATATTTTCACCCCAAGGTGGGGATATCCTTTGTAATAAAAATAAAGTTTTTTAATGGTTAAAAAAAAAGTCTTTTTCTTGTCTGTGAAATGACATGAGAGAAGTTATTAGAAAGTAGGTGTGCGGTGTGCATACTAGCTGTCCCCTGCTTCACGGTACTGAAAACCCTGTGGGAGAGAGCAGTCCCTGTAGACCCTAAGTGACACTGGAGTTGAAGAGAAACAACAGTTCATCAGCTGTTTTTGTATCCATTCATACTAAATTGGTGGGATCTGGTGATGGAAGCTAACCACATCCTCAATTCCTTCAGACTTTCTCCTTGAACTTTGGCCGTGCCTCTCAGGTGCTGGGATTAAAGTCATACCATACCCAGGTTTTTCTTTTAGGTGTTATTTTGTTCAGTGTGTGTGGATGCAGGCAGGAATGTGGGGCTTAGAGCCCACCTTGAAAGAGTCGGTTCCCGAGATGTGGGTCCAGAGACGGGGTCCTCAGGCTTTTGAAGAAAGTCTTCACCCGCTGAGCCATCTCGACAGTCCTCCATGCTTGCTCAGTTTTATGAATTCTTGAAGAAATAGCTTTGAGGGGATTTGGAAGGGAAAGAGTGAGCTTCCTTTGTGTGTATTTTAGCCCGTATGTTTTATTTACACAAAGGCAGGGAGGATCTGGGGAGAAGGGCCTGGAGACTAATATGAGGGAAATTAAACAGGTGTTACTCAGGTGGGAGACAGGAAATCAATACTGGACCCTATGGATCTCGCTCATGGTCCTTAAAGTTCAGTGGACACTAAACCCAGAGTGAGAATGGGTCAGGACCAGCAGCCTCCATTCATCTGTGCAAGGATGGTCTGTGAGATGGAGTTTTGTTTTTGTTTTGTTGAGACAAGTTCTCTAGCTCAGGCTAGCCTCAGCCTCCCAGACACGGGTTAGAATCATATACCACCATTCCTGACTGACATTCTCTTTCATAACATGAGTGATTTTTATTGTAGAGATTCCCCCCCCCCCATATCAACCTGGTTTATATGCTGAAAAGAATAATTATTTGGGACTTAAGAGTTTTAGTTACAGGTATCGGATGTTTTAGAGGTAGCTACAGTTTCCTATCTTTTTAGAATTAGAATGGTTTTTTACTATTTAGCCCCGCCCATATTCCTTGGGACCTGTTCTGGCAATTTCTATTTCTCACAAGGAATTGATGACTGAGAAGCTGTTTCAAGGCTAACTGAAATCATTTCGTTCCTGAAGAAGTCACACACAGAAAAGAGTGGTGGAGGATACCATACAGTTCTTCCTGGGTCCTGGTTCGTCTAAGTGTTTTTGTTTTCCGAAAGGGGTTTTCCATTAGCTCTCTGTATACTAATACAGTCAGAAACCAAGGCAAAGCCTGCTGCAGTGGGGCACACCTGAAACCCAGCGTCTGAGAGGCAGAGGCAGAAGGATTGATTGCCAAGAATTCAAGGCAGCCATGGCCTAGCACCACCAGGTCCGCTAGGGCTATGTAGCAAGAATGTGTGTCCCCAAAAACACACCAAAGCCACAAAAAGCCTGTGAACACTGAGCTGAACAGCAGATGAAAGTGAACACAGCAAGCTTTTCCTACTCCAGCAATTGATCTTTATCATTCATCCCGACTTCTTACTTTTCTGCCTCACATAAGAAATGCTCATTTGTGTGTAATGTGTGGGTGTATGCCACATTGCACACGGGGGTCAACTATGGAGTTAATTCTCTTCTACCTTTAGTATGATCCGGGGATCCATCAAACACGGGTCACCAAGCTCACACAGCTAGCGCCTCTATCCGCAGCCTGATGACCTTTTTCTTCGTCTTTTGAAACAGGGTTTCATTTAGCCTAGGCTGTGTCATGAGGGTGACCTTGAATTTCTGATCCTCTTGCCTCCACCTTCCCAGTGCTGGGATTATAGGCATTGCCTGTGTTACCATGCCCGTTTACATGCCAATGAGGACTGAATACAGGCTTCATCCGTGCTAGGCAAACATCTTAACAGCTGGCCCTCCTGGCACTCTGTTCTGGCTCCTTTCTGTGTATTTACAATGTGCCGGTACCTTGCGGCCCCACTTCTCACCTGTTCAAACATGTAGTAACTCCACCCCTTTAAATTTATGATCAGGAAAGTAGGTCAAAGTTGACAGAAAAGTGTTTTGGTTTTTTTTTTTTTTTTTTTTTTGGTTGTTGTTTTTTTGTTTTTGTTTTAATGCAGCTTGGTTTCCAGAGATGGAGAGATGGGATAGGCCTGCAGCCAGGTATTTGTATGCACACACAGTCTAGTTACTCAGACTTCACATGAGTGGCCAGGAGAAGATAACTACAGCCCAGGCCACTTAAGAAGATATTTGCACTTGCAAGAGGCAGAACAGATGCACCCCCTCCTGATATCCTAACCCCCTATTCCCACCCACCTAGCACTGTCTACAAGATTTTACTGTTTCTGAGAATGGTCTCACTCACCCAAACTAGCGTGGGACTCATTGTTCTGACTGGCAATCCTACTGCCTCAACCCCTGAGCACTGGGCTAACGGGTGTGAGTCACCACACCTGGCCAAAGGAGTGTTCTCTGCTGACGGAAATGCTGTGTGCACCTGTGCTGTTGAGTACAGCAACCACGAACCACGTGAAGCTGTCAGACCGTGACTGAAAAGTGGCTTTTTTAATTCTGTATAATTGACTTAGACTTAACTAGTCAGCGCAACACCGTTCAGCTCAGCTCATTCTGAGGAAGGAAGTTGCCAGAACTACTCCCCAAGAGGAAACGCGTCCCCGCTGAGAGCTCAGCAGGCTGCACTCCACTTCCTTTTTGCCTCACCCTGGGACACTGTGTGCCCGCAGGCTCGCTGAGCACAGCGGCTTCCTCAGTGCCAGTGCAGAGACGCTTCCCCCCTTCACCCTGGGTCTTCTTTCCCCGGCTCCTCTCATGTGCCTTTCAATCTTTAAAGAGCTACAACCTACACGTACAGCCAGGGGACAGACCCCGTTCTGAGTGTTACTTATTCAATAGGTTCAATCCAGTATTGGAAGAGCTGAGAAAAGTCAAGAAGAAAATTAAAGAAAGAGAGGTGAAAAATACCCTGAAGAAAACAGCAGGGCCTTATGGCAGGTGTCTGTGATCCCATCCTTGGTAGACTGAGGCAAATGAACCAAGAGTTCAAGCTACTTTGAGCTACACAGCAAGATTTTTTTTTTTTTTTTTTTTTTGTTTTCGAGATAGGGTTTCTCTGTATTGTTTTGGAGCCCGTCCTGGAACTTGATCTGTAGACCAGGTTGGCCTCGAACTCACAGAGATCTACTTTTTTTAAGACTAGCCATGAAATCCAGCTGATAGAGTGTTTGCCTAAAATATGCAAAGACACAGCCTCCAGTTTGACCCTCAGTTAGGTGTAAAAAAGGCATGGTGACTCACACTAGTAATCCCAGAACTTGGAGACAAGACGCAGGAGGATCACACACGTTCAAGTCAGGCTCAGCTATATAGTGAGTTTGAGGCCCGCCTGCGACACATGAGACTCTCTCTTAAAAAATGAGACGGAAGAACCAGGAAATCCAGTGACATAGTAGGCCAGCCTGGGCTGCAAAACTACAGCTACAGGTAGGTACTTCAAAAACCAAGGGCCTTCTTTGAACATGAGGAAAATGCAAGGATCCACCTAGAGCTGGGGCACTGAGAAAGAGAGGATGCAACTAAGCATATAGTCTGCAAGAAATCCTCATGCATGGCTAAGGACACTGACTAATTCTGTGTGTGTGTGTGTGTGTGTGTGTGTGTGTGTGTGTGTGTGTGTGTGAAAGAGAGAGAGAGAGAGAACCTGAACACAATTTCGGGTGTTGTTGCTTTGTCTACAATTGTTTTTAAAGAGAGGATGTCTCAGATAGGCTAGGGATCCCGTCTCCACTTCACCACTGGGATTACAAACACTAGCCATTTCCTGCTTTGCTTTTCCTTCCTTCCTTCCTTCCTTCCTTCCTTCCTTCCTTCCTTCCTTTCTCTTTCTTTCTTTCTTTCTTTCTTTCTTTCTTTCTTTCTTTCTTTCTGTTTTTTGGTTTTTCAAGACAGGGTTTTTCTGTATTGTTTTGGAGTTTGTCCTGGAACTAGCTCTGTAGACCAGGCTAGCCTGAACTCACAGAGATCTGCCTGCCTTTGCCTCCCCAGTGCTGGGATTAAAGGCGTGCCCCACCAACTCCCCGCCACTTCCTACTTTTCAAGTGCGCCTTGGGGAATCTAACCCTAATTCAGACCCTCAAACTTGTGTGGCAAGCATGTTACTGACTCAGCCATCCAGGCAGCCAGCCTTTGACTGATTCTTTGGACAATCCACAGAGCCTTGCTAGAATTTTGTTTTATCTTGAGTCACCACTAGGTGACAGAACACAGAAAGGAGATAGAGTACATTTAACTGGCCCTCCTGTTCTAACCACCTGACAGGAACAAGATCTTACCCTCCTCCATGCTGATCTCCTGCACACTGTATTTCTGAGGTTGAAAACTCCTTCCAGAGACGCTACAGATAGATCTAGGGTTGCAGGCCTTGGCCCAATAAGCAATGAATCTAGAACGTGGAAAAAGTTTAATGATGAGCCTTCCCATACAGTTCCGTCTTACTTTATCTTTTATTGCTGTGATAAACACCATGGCCAAAAGCGACTGGGGGAGAAAAAGCCTTTATTTGGCTTACATGTCCAGAGCACAGTCCATCACTGAGGGATCCTGGGCAGGGACTTGGAGGCAAGAACTGAAGCAGAAGCCCTGGAAGAAGGCTGCTTATTCCTTCCTATAAATCTCAGAACCGCATGCCCAGAGATGGCACCGCCCACAGTGGGCGGGGCCTCCCAATCAATCAATAATCAAAATGCCCATAGACTTGCCTCCAGGCCAGTCTGATAGCCCCATCTCCTCAGTTAAGGTTCCCTCCTCCAAAATGACTTTAGTTAGGGTCAAGATGACAGAACAAAAACAAACAAAAACCAAAAACCAAAACAAACAAAAAACACAAACAAAAACAAAAGTAACCAGCGCAAGTACTTAGGAGAAATAGTTATTAAGAATGTGGACCC